CACTTTTTGTCCCTTTCTGTCTTTTTTGTCACTTTTTTGTCAAATTTTTCCTTTTTGTCCTTTTTTGTCACTGTTTTGTCCCTTTTTGTCCCTTTTTGTCCCTTTTTGTCCCTTTTTGTCCCTTTTTGTCCCTTTTTGTCAATTTTTGTCACTTTCTGTCACTTTCTTTTTTTGTCATTTTTTCCCAATTTTTCTCATTTTTCTGTCACTTTCTGTCACTTTTTTGTCACTTTTTCCCAATTTTCCCCGATTTTTGTCACTTTTGTGTCACTTTCTGTCTCTTTTCTGTCACTTTCTGTCATTTTTTGTCTTTTTTTGTCTTATTTTGTCACTTTTTTCCATTTTTTTGTCATTTTTTTGTCAAGTTTTGTCACTTTTTGTCCCTGTCTTTTTTGTCACTTTTTTGTCGTTTTTTGTCACTTTTTGTCACTTTTGTGTCACTTTCTCTCTTTATTGTCATTTTTTCCCGATTTTTGTCACTTTTGTGTCACTTTCTCTCTTTTTTTGTCCATTTTTGTCACTTTCTGTCTTTTTTCTGTCACTTTCTGTCACTTCTTTGTCAATTTTTCCCCATTTTTTTGTCATTTTTTTGTCAAGTTTTGTCCCTTTTTGTCCCTTTCTGTCTTTTTTGTCACTTTTTTGTCAAATTTTTCCTTTTTTTGTCCTTTTTTGTCACTGTTTTGTCACTTTCTGTCACTTTTTGTCACTTTTTTGTCCTTTTTTGTCACTTTCTGTCACTTTCTGTCACTTTCTTTTTTGTCATTTTTTCCCAATTTTTGTCACTTTTGTGTCACTTTCTGTCCTTTTTTCTGTCACTTTCTGTCACTTTTTTGTCACTTTTGGTCACTTTTGTGTCACTTTCTCTCTTTTTTTGTCCATTTTTGTCACTTTCTGTCACTTTTTTGTCTTTTTCTGTCGTATTTTGTCACTTTTTCCCATTATTTGTGACTCTTTTGTCATTTTTTTGGTCAAGTTTTGTCACTTTTTGTCCCTTTCTGTCTTTTTTGTCATTTTTTTGTCAAATTTTTCCTCTTTTGTCCCTTTTTGTCACTGTTTTGACGCTTTCTGACACTTTTTGTCACTTTTTTTGTCATTTTTTGTCATTTTCTGTCTCTTTTTTCTCATTTTTTGTCTCTTTTTTGTCATTTTTTGTCACATTCTGTCATTTTCTGTCTTTATTTGTCATTTTTTGTCACTTTTTTGTCATTTTTTGTCATTTTTGTCATTTTTTGTCACTTTTTTGTCGTTTTTTTGTCATTTTTTGTCAATTTTTTGTCAATTTTTGTCACTTTCTGTCACTTTCTTTTTTTGTCATTTTTTCCCAATTTTTCTCGTTTTTGTGTCACTTTCTGTCCTTTTTTTTGTCACTTTCTGTCACTTTTTTGTCTTTTTTTTGTCGTATTTTGTCACTTTTTTCCATTTTTTTGTGACTTTTTTGTCGTTTTTTTGTCACTTCTGTCAATTTTTTGTCCCTTTTTGTCAATTTTTTCCAATTTTTTCCAATTTCTGTCACTCTTTGTCACTTTTTGTCATTTTTTGTCATTTTTTTGTCTTTTTTGTCACTTTTTTGTCACTTTTTGTCCCTTTTTCCCACTTTTTGTCCCTTTTTTGTCCCTTTTTTCCACTTTCTGTCACTTTCTCTCCCTTTTTCTCCCTTTTTTCCATTTTTTCCCAATTTTTCTCTCTTTTCTGCTCTTTTCTCTCCCCTTTTCTCCTTTTTTTCCATTTTTTCCCAATTTTTCTCTCTTTTCTGCTCTTTTCTCTCCCCTTTTCTCCTTTTTTTCCATTTTTTTCTCCCTTTTCCATCCCATTTTTGCCCAATTTTGTCCCATTTTTGTCCCCCCAGGTTACACCCCCTTCCCCCGTGGCACCCACGCAGGTGAGAAACCCCCAGGGTCACTTTTTGTCACCTTTTTGTCACTTTTTTGTCACTTTTGTCTTTTTTTGTCCTTTTTTTGTCACTTTTGTCTTTTTTTGTCACTTTTGTCTTTTTTTGTCATTTTTTTGTCATTTTTCTGTCATTTTTCTGTCTTTTTTTTGTCATTTTTTTGTCATTTTTTGGTCACGTTTTTGTCATTTTTTTGTCATTTTTGTCATATTTTTTCACTTTTGTGATTTTTTGGTCATTTTTTTGTGATTTTTTTGTGATTTTTTTTGTGATTTTTTTGTCATTTTTTTGTCACTTTTTTTGCTCATTTTTTGGTCATTTTTTGGTCATTTTTTGTCTTTTTTTGTCTTTTTTTTTGTCATTTTTGTCATTTTTTGTCACTTTTT